ATTGCTACGTGCTGAACATCATGATGGGTTATTCAGCGCTTTGCAAATTGCACTGTGGGGGTCGTGTGGCGTAACGGCTCGACTTAGAATCAAGAGGTCCTGGGTTCGAGTCCTGACATGCCACCGATCTAGTGCCCTTGGGGAATAGCTTTGCAAATTGCACTGTGGGGCCGTGTGGCGTTACGACTCCACTTAGAACCAAGAGGTCCTGGGTTCGGGTCCTGACATGCCACCGATCTTGTGCCCTTGGGAAAATTGAAAATGAGTTTTGTCCTGTCCTGTATTTGACCTCTGCGTTGGCGGTGACATAAAATAAGTTGATACAACTTGAGCGTGCTGTGTCTAGTCATTGGAATTTTAAAAAAATTGTACTGACTTGCAGGGCCCCTGAAATCACCCATTCCATACTTTACTTACATATTGAACAAATCCACCCTGTTAAAATCTCCCAGCGTCAAGATTTAATTATTACATCAATTAATACAGCTTAAGTATTAGAAATCATTTCTAAATTGTTTTGACACACACATCATAGCCCAACCCCTTATTTTACCCATCTACTAAACAAATATGGACAATAAACCTCCCACGCGCAGACTGTCCGAGATAGTATCATTTATAGTATAATTTTTACAGGGGTCTCCCCAGAAATTCTTAGGGGAGAGGTGCTCCATAATCGGTTGATGAAAAATCTGCAAATTTTCATGAAAACTTTGATTTAGCGAAAACCCTAAATTTGACAATTTTGGTAAAGGTGCTAGGATTTTGGGGAGAGGGGGGCACCCTCGCTCCATTGCTTGGAGAGAGCCCGGGATACGCTAATATTAGTGATTATGTTTACCGAAGGAAAACATATTGTTTTTGCTCCATTTCTTCTTCTTCCTCTTCTTCTTCTGTTCCAAACACTAACATCTGACCTGGCCAATGGCCTCTTTTGTTGACGTCTGTCACCATAGTAACTGGTGTTGGGTTACATCATGTTGCAATTTCAGAGAAGGCATTTAGGCTCCTGTCACCCTATACATGTATGTGCATGTGAATGTGTTTGAGTAAGAATTAACAGAGCAGACCATATCCGAAGGTAAACATTATGCATTTGCTTTGCAAATGTTACTTTTCTAGTTTGTCATTTAATTCTTTAATTGTATGTAACTGTGACCGCCTTTTTTGTAGCTTATGTATTTGTTATGTGTAGTTTTTAATACAAACTTGTACGCATTTCAGCGCCTTGGTGCTGCTTTATACTTGGGATTTCGACCAATCAATAAACAAATCAATAATATTCTTCAAGCAGTTCAAAATTGCTTTAGTGGAAGGTAAAATCATTAATTCCCTATTGACAATACTGGAATGCATGGAACACTTGTGTTCGTGGTGAATACTAACTACATACGACCAGTTGAACCAGAATAACACTAACCGTGGTATGACTCTCCAGGTAAAGTACAGTTGTATGAGGTTTCACGCTTGAGTGCCAGTTCTTGAGATTTGATGGGTCTTGCCTTGACCTATACACAGGATCTCTCGTTTTCCTAACCATCAACTGGCGTGGGATATAGTTTACTTGCAGTTGAGGCAAATTGAAAGTGAGCGAAGCAAACTGGTACATATTGCTACCCTGTCTGCTTAGCTGTCTACTGGCTGTTATGCGAGCAAGAACCTGAATATGTTTTATTTAGTTGAGTGCAAGGGAAAGAACAAGATCACATTGCTTTGCTTGGCAATCGAGTGACCAAAGCAATACTGTGGATGTATTTGCTTAGTTAGGACAAAGTGAAATAGGCAAGATCAAATAAAAAAAGAACAGTTTACAACATCTAGTCTACTGTAGAATGAAATAGAACGCACGCACATGTTCTAGCATTGATAATGCAATAATCGAAATAAGCAACGGGTCACAATATGGTTTTATATGGTAGAAAGAAGAAACTGAGCGGGTCTTTTTGCCATGCTAATGAAAGTACACAAAGCTTGCTGAAGCAGACAGGATGCACTTTTGACATAGCCTGTAACTACCAACATCAAGTTTGGTCACACCGCCTCCATTACATAGTTCGAGCTGTGCTGAATGTAAGGCAAAGGTTAAGAACGAGAACCCAACACCCATTGGAGATTCCAGAGCTCCTGATGGTATCTTTACTTTTTGTGACTTCATTGACACAGCCAAACAAACGTGCCTAGGACGGAATCTTTTCAAGATGAAAGACCGAGATGTCACGAATCTATCTTGTGCTGACAAGTAGGTAACCCCTGTAACTTGCAGTAGCTTTATAATAGCCTCTGGTTAGTTGGGCAGTCCTCGTTGTATAACGCTCTATACAGTCTAATAAATCAAGTCAAATCAAAATTGTGAGGGTGGACTTTCCTGGGTCCAAAATCACCCCCGTCCTCTTTCCTGCTACTCTACTGCTTTCAAATACCTACTGACACACACACACATACATACATACAATGAAAAACAGGCAAACATACACACACGCCGAAAACAGTGCTCCGTACCTAGGGATAAATGTTATAGGTAAACACTTCATCATAACTCTACAATGACTCTATCCACTGTTGTAAGGATATCTGGTGATATTGTCGATTTTTAAAATCACAAGTTACAAACTTTTCTCTTGCTAAGTGACGGTGTAAAATGGATAATGGGTCTACTTTTTCCTCGATGATGCACAACAAGCTCTTTCCCTTACGGTATTGACCATGCCTATACTCTACCTCCCACTTATGGTATAGTCAATATTAACGTGATTAAGTCGATTAACGTCGTGTTCATTTTCGGTTTCATCCGTTACAGGATTGTTCTCTGTGTACAGAGGTCAATACAAGTTTTCAGAAAGTCCTAATTCCTGTATGTACGGTGTATTGATCTGAGTAAGGACCTTCAGTAACAAACAGCAGGTTGAAGCGTATGCGTGGTCATGGGTCCGTCACTGATTGGTGACCAAACATGAGTCCGCATCTTAACCAGCCGCTCGGACTAAAGGCATCCAGTGCAGCTTTTAGGGCTTAGAAATCCGATTTTTCAAAGCCAATAATCTAGTCATTTATCTACATAGTGAATTAAAACCACAGTGCCCAAGGTATATTGACCCTCTTGGAGCAAACGTTACCACAATTCTGACGGAAAATGGTTACTGGAAGGGCCATGGACTGATTTTTAAGGTACCACCCAGAAAATAAAGGATTCATCTTGGGACTTGTTTCTGCAGTTTTAAAAGCCCAAAGTATGTAATACTGACTTAAATGTGCTAATGTGAAGCAGTATGTGTTAATATCACAAGGTTTCCTTATTCGGAATAATTCCAGTTTTGGCGCCCTGAAATTCCATTGGATTACTTTAATCAGGCGCTCGGACTAAAGACTAACACCCCGTTCACAGTGAAACTTGTCGATCCGGATCGGCCGCCGATCGGGATCAAAATTATGCAAATGAAGTCAATCCGGATCGGTTTTCGCAGTGTGAACGCTCCAATCCGGATTGATTTTCTCCGATCCC